CCGGGTATCCAGGACAATGCACTGATACTGGCCAGAAATGTGAGGAGTCCACAGACAGATACACGCTATTGTATAACAGGCAACTCTTGTCGTATGTCAGCTCACAGATGGTGGCTTTTCATGATTTCACAATATCATTTTCCACTTCGTATATGCCATAATACATTTTATAGATTACCCATTTGAGGTAGCATAGATACAATCAGTATAATGACTATAACAGCTTGTAAAGAGGATGTAAAGGTTTTACAACTTATGTTCATCTCGGTTAAATGTTGGGTTTTTTTACTTATAAACGCATAATAAGACGTGTTATTGCCCGATCCGTTGTGTTTTGGGTTACTTCATTACCACCACAGGCGTAGTGATAAAAATGCATGCACTTACCTATATGCATGAAAATATATTTGTTCTATTAACATTTTTATTCTATTTAATACTTTCGATTAACAATTTAATGTTATATTAACCGAGGAGCAAAGGAAACAGTACATGACTTCATCATATGCTTGATTATCAAGTGACAATATAGATATTATATATGAACTGTACTGGTACTGTATTTAATTTAAACCTTTTAAAATTATAAATCCAATTCGCATGATACACAACTAGTAGTGGATAGCTCAGACATCTCTGTTTGAAAATCAATAAACTTGTTTTTTTCGGCACAAACTTACAATATTTCAATCAGTGTAGGGTCATATGATTGGAAATTCATTTCACAGTCATCATTTACTCTTATGCATAATTGACCATTCACAGATTACTTTATAAACTGTTGGAAGGATGATCAATAATAGGCATAATCAAATTTAACAACAGTTCTTTCAATTTTCATAAACAAAACAAAACAACAACAGCAAAAAAATATAATCGCTCTTGTCCCTATGATTATTCATTTCCGTTGAAGCGTGGTGTAGTGTGTTGTAGTGTGATGTAGTGTGTTGTAGTGTGATGTAGTGTGCTGTAGTGTGGTGTAGTGTATTGTTGTGTGATGTAGTGTGTTGTAGTGTGATGTAGTGTGTTGTAGTGTGTTGTAGTGTGGTGTAGTGCGTTGCAGTGTGGTGTAGTGTGGTGTAGTGTGTTGTAATGTGGTGTAGTGCGTTGTAGTGTGGTGTAGAGCGTTGTAGTGTAGTGTAGTGCGTTGTAGTGTGTTGTAGTGTATTGTTGTGTGATGTAGTGTGTATTAGTGTGGTGTAGTGTATTGTTGTGTGATGTAGTGTGTTGTAGAGTGATGTAGTGTGTTGTAGTGTGGTGTAGTGTGTTGTAGTGTAAGGTGTGGTGTAGTGTGGTGTAGTGTATTGTTGTGTGATGTAGTGTGTTGTAGTGATGTAGTGTGTTGTAGTGTATTGTTGTGTGATGTAGTGTGTTGTAGTGTGTTGTAGTGTGATGTAGTGTATTGTTGTGTGATGTAGTATGTTGTAGTGTGTTGTAGTGTGTTGTAGTGTGGTGTAGTGCGTTGTAGTGCGTTGTAATGTGGTGTAGTGTGATGTAGTGCGTTGTAGTGTGGTGGAGTGTGTTGTAGTGTGCTTTAGTGTGGTGTGGTGTGATGTAGTGTGATGTAGTGTCTTGTAGTGAGTTGTGTCGTGTAGTGTGATATAATGTGTTGTATTGTGTTGTAGTGTGTGTAATGTGGTGTAGTGTGATGTAGTGTGAGTGTAGTGTGGTGGTGTGTGGTGTAGTGTGTGGTGTAGTGTGGTGTAGTGTGTTGTATTGTGATGTAGTGCATTGTAGTGTGGTGTAGTGTGTGTGGTGTAGTGTGTTGTAGTGTGATGTAGTGCGTTGTAGTGTGGTGTAGTTTGTTGTAGTGTGATGTAGTGTGGTGTAGTGTGATGTAGTGTGTTGTAGTGTGATGTAGTGTGATGTAGTGTGGTGTAGTGTGGTGTAGTGTGATGTAGTGTGATGTAGTGTGTTGTAGTGTGGTGTAGTGTGATGTAGTGTGTAGTGTAGTGTGATGTAGTGTTGTAGTGTGAGTGTGCGTTGTAGTGTAGTGTTGTAGTGTAGTGTGGTGTAGTGTGGTGTAGTGTGATGTAGTGTGGTGTAGTGTGATGTAGTGTGTTGTAGTGTGGTGTAGTGCGTTGTAGTGTGAGTGTAGTGTGGTGTAGTGTGATGTAGTGTGTTGTAGTGTGATGTAGTGTGATGTAGTGTGATGTAGTGCGTTGTAGTGTGGTGTATTGTAGTGTGTTGTAGTGTGGTGTAGTGTGGTGTAGTGTATTGTTGTGTGATGTAGTGTGTTGTAGTGTGATGTAGTGTGGTGTAGTGTGTTGTAGTGTGATGTAGTGTGTTGTAGTGTGATGTAGTGTGTTGTAGTGTGGTGTAGTGTGATGTAGTGTGTTGTAGAGTGGTGTAGAGATCAGTAACGGGTATATTAGCGTTATCAAATACACTGGTCAAAGTCAGGATAATCATGAATATAATACTATGAAATTGGTATCCTCTTTGTCCCTCATCCCAGATCAACATGTCCGTGTAGAAACAGATCCTTTGATAAACTTGTCCTGCTGTTGCCTTGTGCTGTAACTGTAGACGTCAGTGGAGATAGAGAGATCATAGTGCCGTATATAACAGCTCACAGAAGGCTGTGTTGCTGAACAGACCGGACGCATACTGCGGTAAGTACAACCTTCTGGTCTTTACACTCTCACGAGAACACATTGGTTTGTACGTACTATACAGGATTAAATTGTGCCTACATTTGAGCGATGGAGTGAGTCAAATTTAGTCAGTACTTTATATCCTCATTAGAATAAGGTATATATAATATTAAAGCATATAAAACCTGTCGTGACGGACAGTTTGGTTTTAAATCAAGGATAAGAAAGTGAAAGACTATTTTCTGTCTTTACAACAGAAAGAATGTTCATTGGTCGCCAGCAGCTACAGGGCTATACTACATCAACTTCCGGCACCTGACTACAGCTTAAACACTACCAAATGCTGTGTGGCTATATCAAATATATGTAGAAAAAAACCATATTACCTTATATGAGTTAGGTAAAGACCCACTCTGTTTCAGATATAGTAGGTCGTGTCTGCTTAATGTGGGAGGGAAACCCGAAGTGACGCAGGTCGTTTACTACCTCACAGAAACCCACGAGCAGGGGTATGACGGTGATGAATCTAGAAACGTGATTGTGGCAACCCGAGTATCTTTTATGATATACACATTCTATTGGGTATAATGTTACTTTAAAGCTCACTTTAATCGGCATATTTATTACAGTCACGTCAGATAAATTTTGTAGCATAATTTGATATTTTCTATTTCAGATCAGAATGTTGTATGTGCTTGCGATAAGTTTCTGTGTAGTTCCTCTCTGGGCAGGGAATATGGGTAAGTCAGATCAGAATAGTGTACCTGCAATCTGTGTGTAGTTCCTCTCTGGGCAAGGGGATATAGGTAAGTCAGATCAGAAGAGTGTACCTGTAATCTGTGTGTAGTTCCTCCCTGGGCAGGGAATATAGGTAAGTCAGATCAGAAGAGTGTACCTGTAATCTGTGTGTAGTTCCTCTCTGGGCAAGGGGATATAGGTAAGTCAGATCAGAAGAGTTTACCTGTAATCTGTGTGTAGTTCCTCTCTGGGCAAGGGGATATAGGTAAGTCAGATCAGAAGAGTGTACCTGTAATCTGTGTGTAGTTCCTCTCTGGGCAAGGGAATATTGGTAAGTCAGATCAGAATAGTGTACCTGTAATCTGTGTGTAGTTCCTCTCTGGGCAGGGAATATAGGTAGAGATCAGATCAGAAGAGTGTACCTGTAATCTGTGTGTAGTTCCTCTCTGGGCAGTGGAATATAGGTGAAAGTCAGATCAGAATAGTGTACCTGTAATCTGTGTGTAGTTCCTCTCTGGGCAAGGGGGAATATAGGTAAGTCAGATCAGAAGAGTGTACCTGTAATCTGTGTGTAGTTCCCTCTGGGCGGGGATATGGGAAAGTCAGATCAGAAGTACTAAGTGTACCTGTAATCTGTGTGTGGTTCCTCTCTGGGCAGGGGAATATAGGGAAAGTCAGATCAGAATAGTGTACCTGTAATCTGTGTGTGTGTTCACTCTCTGGGCAGGAATATAGGTAAGTCAGATCAGAAGAGTGTACCTGTAATCTGAGTGTAGTTCCTGTCTGGGCAAGGGTATATAGGAAAGTCAGATCAGAAGAGTGTACCTGTAATCTGTGTGTAGTTCCTCTCTGGGCAAGGGAATATAGGTCAGTCAGATCAGAATAGTGTACCTGTAATCTGTGTGTAGTTCCTCTCTGGGCAGGGAATATAGGTAAGTCAGATCAGAATAGTGTACCTGTAATCTGTGTGTAGTCCATCTCTGGGCAGGGAATATAGGTGAGTCAGATCAGAATAGTGTACCTGTAATCTGTGTGTAGTTCCTCTCTGGGCAGGGAATATAGGTAAGTCAGATCAGAATAGTGTACCTGTAATCTGTGTGTAGTTCCTCTCTGGGCAAGGGAATATAGGTAAGTCAGATCAGAAGAGTGTACCTGTAATCTGTGTGTAGTTCCTCTCTGGGCAAGGGGATATAGGTAAGTCAGATCAGAAAAGTGTACCTGTAATCTGTGTGTAGTTCCTCTCTGGGCAGAACCTTCTGGTCTTTACACTCTCACGAGAACACATTGGTTTGTACGTACTATACAGGATTAAATTGTGCCTACATTTGAGTGATGGAGTGCGTCAAATTTAGTCAGTACTTTATATCCTCATTAGAATAAGGTATATATAATATTAAAGCATATAAAACCTGTCGTGACGGACAGTTTGGTTTTAAATCAAGGATAAGAAAGTGAAAGACTATTTTCTGTCTTTACAACAGAAAGAATGTTCATTGGTCGCCAGCAGCTACAGGGCTATACTACATCAACTTCCGGGACCTGACTACAGCTGAAACACTACCAAATGCTGTGTGGCTATATCACATATATGTAGAAAAGAAACATATTAACATATATGAGTTAGGTAAAGACCCACTCTGTTTCAGATATAGTAGGTCGTGTCTGCTTTATGTGGGAGGAAAACCCGAAGTGACGCAGGTCTCGGCCGTTTACTACCTCACAGAAACCCAGGAGCAGGGGTATGACGGTGATGAATCCAGAAACGTGATTGTGGCAACCCGAGTATCTTTTATGACATACACATTCTACTGGTTATAATGATACTTTAAAGCTTACTTTAATCGGCATATTTATTACGGTCAAGCCAGAGAACTTTGTAGCATAATGTGATATTTTCTATTTCAGATCAGAATGTTGTATGTGCTTGCGATAAGTCTCTGTGTAGTCCCTCTCTGGGCAGTGAATATAGGTAAGTCAGATCAGAATATTATACTTGTAATCTGTGTGTAGTCCCTCTCTGGGCAGTGAATACAGGTAAGTGAGATCAGAATATTGTACCTGTAATCTGTGTGTAGTCCCTCTCTGGGCAGTGAATACAGGTAAGTCAGATCAGAATAGTGTACCTGTAATCTGTGTGTAGTCCCTCTTTGGGCAGTGAATACAGCTAAGTCAGATCAGAATAGTGTACCGGTAATCTGTGTGTAGTCCCTCTCTGGGCAGTGAATACAGGTAAGTCAGATCAGAATAGTGTACCTGTAATCTGTGTGTAGTCCCTCTTTGGGCAGTGAATACAGCTAAGTCAGATCAGAATAGTGTACCGGTAATCTGTGTGTAGTCCCTCTCTGGGCAGTGAATACAGGTAAGTCAGATCAGAATAGTGTACCTGTAACCCGTGTGTAGTCAGATGTGTGCAGTCAGACTTTCAATGTCGACTGCTGTGTAGAATTGCAGAGATTCCGCTGCCCCCAAATAAAAATCAGGCGTTATGAAACTATTTTTCTTTTCCACCACCACCAGTTGTAAAGACATTTACCAATATATGTTTAACTCAATCGAGAAAAATGACGAACATACTGTCATTTAAATGATAATCAATGTTGTGTCTTAGTTGTTTTGAGTTTGCTATTGCGTGTTCAGTGCCCCCGGCGCGGTTTGCTCCGCCCGTGAAGAAACCCGGGTTTGGAAACAAGGCCAAGCCAGTCATCCAGCCCTTCTTCGCTCCCGTCTCCATCAGCGGCAATCAGTAGTGAGTACACCACCTTCATTACATGTATACATGTTACCTGCAGTACATACTGACACACCTGTCCTTGGTTACACCATATGTGTACCTACATATATAGAGGACATAACACAATGGAAACTTCAGGAAGCTAGGTGAGGACACAAACACACGCATACGCACACACGCACACACGCATACACACTGTCACAACCTACACGAAGCATGCTGAAGTCTAATGTCGGTCTTTATGGGGTTTACCAGAGTACTGGTGTGGATGTTTAGTTTCGTTATACATTGAAATGTGGCGATTGTCAAATTTAACCCAGATACAGGACTGTAAGGTAGCCATGAAGCCATACTTGGTGTCGTCGTGACTACCCAGCCACACTCACTCCCCCATTTCGCTCAGTTAGATAGTTACTCACTCACTGTAGGAGTCAAGTTGATGATCCTGTGTTTGCGTCATGCTTGTCCTTGTCTCCCACACAGCCGGCTGTCCAACATCATCCTCATCTCCAAGATGGCCTTCTTCACAAAGTTCGACCTTAACAATAACTTCGTCTTAACTGATGACGAGATTAAAGCCGCTTTCACCAAATATGACGCCAATGGTGAGTGAACCAGCCTTGTAGGTTGTTTCCATGGCGACTTAGCAGCTCAATATGTCACCGAGAACCTGTTCTAATATGTATTGATAGCTGACATTAATCATTAATTGAATCAAACCCAGATATGCATATTCTCAGAAACTCGGTTTCGCCGTTACATCAAACCATGATCACAGCAACTGAGCCGGTTACCAATTTCGGTCAAGGAGGTACAGTGAGAGGCATATAATAGACAGATGCAGTCAGGGGATACAAGTGTAGAGTGGTCCAATAAGAGAGTACACCTGTAGAGTGGTCCACACTAGGGGATACAAATGTAGAATGGTCCAGTCAGGGGGTACACCTGTAACCGGTCCAATCAGGATGTACATTGTGGACTGGACCAGTCAGGGTGTAGACTGTAGACTGGACTAATCAGGGTGTACACTGTAGACTGCACTCATCAGGGTGTAGACTGTAGACTGGACCAATCAGGGTGTAGACTGTAGACTGGACTAATCAGGGTGTACACTGTAGACTGGACCCATCAGGGTGTACACTGTAGCCTGGACTAATCAGGGTGTACACAGTAGACTGGACCCATCAGGGTGTACACTGTAGACTGGACCAATCAGGGTGTACACTGTAGACTGGACTAATCAGGGTGTACATTGTAGACTGGACCCATCAGGGTGTACACTGTAGACAAGACCAATCAGGGTGTAGACTGTGGACTGGGCCAATCAGGGTGTACACTGTAGACTGGACCAATCAGGGTGTACACTGTAGACTGGACCAACCAGGGTGTACACAGTAGACTGGACCAAGCAGGGTGTACACTGTAGACTAGACCAATCAGGGTGTACACAGTAGACTGGACCAAGCAGAGTGTACACCGTAGACCGGACCAATCAGGGTGTAGACTGTGGACTGGGCCAATAAGGGTGTAGACTGTAGACTAGACCAATCAGGGTGTACACTGTAGACTGGACCAATCAGGGTGTAGACTGTAGACTGGACCAATCAGGGTGTAGACTGTAGACTGGACTAATCAGGGTGTACACTGTAGACTGGACCCATCAGGGTGTACACTGTAGCCTGGACTAATCAGGGTGTACACAGTAGACTGGACCCATCAGGGTGTACACTGTAGACTGGACCAATCAGGGTGTACACTGTAGACTGGACTAATCAGGGTGTACATTGTAGACTGGACCCATCAGGGTGTACACTGTAGACAAGACCAATCAGGGTGTAGACTGTGGACTGGGCCAATCAGGGTGTACACTGTAGACTGGACCAATCAGGGTGTACACTGTAGACTGGACCAACCAGGGTGTACACAGTAGACTGGACCAAGCAGGGTGTACACTGTAGACTAGACCAATCAGGGTGTACACAGTAGACTGGACCAAGCAGAGTGTACACCGTAGACCGGACCAATCAGGGTGTAGACTGTGGACTGGGCCAATAAGGGTGTAGACTGTAGACTAGACCAATCAGGGTGTACACTGTAGACTGGACCAATCAGGGTGTAGACTGTAGACTGGACCAATCATGGTGTACACTGTAGACTGGACCAATCATGGTGTACACTGTAGACTGGGCCAATCAGGGTGTAGACTGTAGACTGGACCAATCAGGGTGTAGACTGTGGACTGGACCAATCGGGGTGTACACTGTAGACTGTTAGGCAGTCCTTATTTCAATTCGAGGCCCGTTTAGTATATAATCTAGGTTTCAACATGTGTCTAGTATTCCCGCCATGCAGGGTATCTGACTTCTAAGCCGCTTATTCAGAAATGGGAAGACAAGTAAAGTGCAGGTTGTGTTTTCAGTAAAAATGGAAGCCTTGCTTTTTGGTACCTAGCGTACATTCACTAGTCATACTGCCACCTGATTTTCAAGGTCGTCTTTACAGTGGATCCACGGTGACGTCACTGTAACAGGGGACAGAGTCCCGGACAACATGGTACATCTCCTATAAATGACACTTATATATGATCAGGTGATGGTGTTCTGGGACGATGACGAAATGAGCACCCTCAATCTGGACACCCTGAAGGCTGCTGCCGACGCCGACAGTGATGGCGAGGTTACTCGAGACGAATTCAATGACGTCTTCACCAAAATGGACATCAATGGTAAGCTCCTCAATATTGCCTTTAATGCCGCGGCGAGTGTTATCAGTGAAACCCGTGGATGTGTACTGAAAATGTCGAGGCTGCGGAAATTACTATACACATGGCTGATTGTATTGTGTTTATTTCATTTGGATCAATCTGAATGTTGTATCATGTCTGCAATGTCAATAGAAACCAGGAAATTGCTCATAGCCATGTTTGAATCATATGCAAGTGGTTCTTGGCTACTTGAAATTTGGCCAATTTCTGTCGATTATTTGACCTGTGTTCTTACCACAACCCGTAAACAGCCACCATGATACAACAGAACAAATATAATTGCTCAATGTTTTCTAATCAACGAAGCACAGTACCACTATCTGCCGCATGGCCTGAAATGTTACCACGGATTGAATGTGAGTGAAGTTACCACTGTCTGTGAAACATATGACTATTGACTGTATGCTAGTGATGTTACCATTGACTGTATGCTGCTGATGTTACGACGGACTGCATGCTGGTGATGTTACCATTGACTGTATCCTCGTGATGTTACCATTGACTGTATGCTGGTGATGTTACCATTGGCTGTATGCTAGAGATGTTACGACGGACTGCATGCTGGTGATGTTACCATTGGCTGTATGCTAGAGATGTTACGACGGACTGCATGCTGGTGATGTTACCATTGACTGTATGCTAGTGATGTTACCATTGACTGTATGCTGGTGATATTACTATGGACTGTATGCTGGTGATGTTACCATTGACTGTATGCTGGTGATGTTACCATTGACTGTATGCTGGTGATGTTACCATTGACTGTATGCTGGTGATATTACTATGGACTATATGCTGGTGATGTTACCATAGACTGTATGCTGGTGATGTTACCATTGACTGTATCTGGTGATGTTACCATTGACTGTATGCTAGAGATGTTACGACGGACTGCATGCTGGTGATGTTACCATTGACTGTATGCTAGTGATGTTACCATTGACTGTATGCTGGTGATATTACTATGGACTATGCTGGTGATGTTACCATTGACTGTATGCTGGTGATGTTACCATTGACTGTATGCTGGTGATATTACTATGGACTATATGCTGGTGATGTTACCATTGACTGTATGCTGGTGATGTTACCATTGACTGTATCTGGTGATGTTACCATTGACTGTATGCTGGTGATGTTACCATTGACTGTATGCTAGTGATGTTACCATTGACTGTATGCTAGTGATGTTACCATTGACTATATGCTGGTGATATTACTATGGACTGTATGCTGGTGATGTTACCATTGACTGTATGCTGGTGATGTTACCATTGACTGTATCCTCGTGATGTTACCATTGACTGTATGCTGGTGATGTTACCATTGACTGTATCTGGTGATGTTACCATTGACTGTATGCTAGTGATGTTACCATTGACTGTATGCTAGTGATGTTACCATTGACTGTATGCTGGTGATGTTACCATTGACTGTATTCTGGTGATGTTACGACGGGCTGTATGCTGGTGATGTTACCATTGACTGTATCTGGTGATGTTACCATTGACTGTATGCTGGTGATGTTACCATTGACTGTATGGTAGTGATGTTACCATTGACTCTTTGCTAGTGAAGTTACCATTGACTGTATGCTGGTGATGTTACCATTGACTGTATACTAGTGATGTTACCATTGACTGTATACTAGTGATGTTACCATTGACTGTATGCTAGTGATGTTACCATTGACTGTATGCTAGTGATGTTACCATTGACTGTATACTAGTGATGTTACCATTGACTGTATGCTAGTGATGTTACCATTGACTGTATACTAGTGATGTTACCATTGACTGTATGCTAGTGATGTTACCATAGACTGTATGCTGGTGATGTTACCATTGACTGTATGCTAGTGATGTTACCATTGACTGTATGCTAGTGATGTTACCATTGGCTGTATGCTAGTGATGTTACCATTGGCTGTATACTAGTGATGTTACCATTGACTGTATGCTAGTGATGTTACCATTGACTGTATGCTAGTGATGTTACCATTGACTGTATGCTGGTGATGTTACCATTGACTGTATTCCGGTGATGTTACGACGGGCTGTATGCTGGTGATGTTACCATTGACTGTATCTGGTGATGTTACCATTGACTGTATGCTGGTGATGTTACCATTGACTGTATGGTTATGATGTTACCATTGACTCTTTGCTAGTGATGTTACCATAGACTGTATGCTGGTGATGTTACCATTGACTGTATGCTGGTGATGTTACCATTGACTGTATACTAGTGATGTTACCATTGACTGTATCCTGGTGATGTTACCATTGACTGTATACTAGTGATGTTACCATTGACTGTATCCTGGTGATGTTACCATTGACTGTATGCTAGTGATGTTACCATTGACTGTATGCTGGTGATGTTACCATTGACTGTATGCTGGTGATGTTACCATTGACTGATGTTACCATTGACTGTATGCTGGTGATGTTATGTACCATTGACTGCTGGTGATGTTACCATTGACTGTATCCTGGTGATGTTACCATTGACTGTATCCTGTGATGTTACCATTGACTGTATGCTGGTGATGTTACCATTGACTGATATCCTGTATGTGGTGATGTTACCATTGACTGTATGCTAGTGATGTTACCATTGACTGTATCCTGGTGATGTTACCATTGACTGTATGCTGGTGATGTTACCATTGACTGTATCCTGGTGATGTTACCATTGACTGTATCCTGGTGATGTTACCATTGACTATATGCTGGTGATGTTACCATTGACTGTATACTGGTGATGTTACCATAGACTGTATGCTGGTGATAATAACCATTGACTGTATGCTGGTGATGTTACCATTGACTGTATGCTGGTGATGTTACCATTGACTGTATGCTAGTGATGTTACCATTGACTGTATGCTGGTGATGTTACCATTGACTGTATGCTGGTGATGTTACCATTGACTGTATGCTGGTGATGTTACCATTGACTGTATGCTGGTGATGTTACCATTGACTGTATCCTGGTGATGTTACCATTGACTGTATGCCAGGTGATGTTACCATTGACTGTATTGACATGCCAGTATACCACTGACTGGTGATGTTACCATTGACTGTATGCTGGTGATGTTACCATATGACCTGTACTGCTAGTGATAGTTACCATTGACTGTATGCTGGTGATGTTACCATAGACTGTATCCTGGTGATGTTACCATTGACTGTATGCTAGTGATGTTACCATTGACTGTATCCTGGTGATGTTACCATTGACTGTATGCTGGTGATGTTACCATTGACTGTATGCTGGTGATGTTACCATTGACTGTATGTATACCCCTGGTGATGTTACCATTGACTGTATGCTGGTGATGTTACCATTGACTGTATCCTGGTGATGTTACCATTGACTGTATCCAGGTGATGTTATGATGTTACCATTGACTGTATGGTGATGTTACCATTGACTGTATACTGGTGATGTTACCATTGACTGTAGACATTGACTGTATGCCGGGTGATGTTACCATTGACTGTGATAATACCATTGACTGTATGACTGCAGAGATGTTACCATAGACTGTATCCTGGTGATGTTACCATTGACTGTATGCTAGTGATGTTACCATTGACTGTATCCTGGTGATGTTACCATTGACTGTATGCTAGTGATGTTACCATTGACTGTATGCTGGTGATGTTACCATTGACTGTATCCTGGTGATGTTACCATTGACTGTATACCATTGACTGTAGGTGATGTTACCATTGACTATATGCTGGTGATGTTACCATTGACTGTATACTGGTGATGTTACCATTGACTGTATGCTGGTGATATGTTACCATTGACTGTATGCTGGTGATGTTACCATTGACTGTATGCTAGTGATGTTACCATTGACTGTATGCTGGTGATGTTACCATTGACTGTATGCTGGTGATGTTACCATTGACTGTATGCTAGTGATGTTACCATTGACTGTATGCTCGTGATGTTACCATTGACTGTATGCTGGTGATGTTACCATTGACTGTATGCTGGTGATGTTACCATTGACTGTATACTCGTGATGTTACCATTGACTGTATGCTAGTGATGTTACCATTGACTGTATGCTGGTAATGTTACCATTGACTGTATGCTAGTGATGTTACCATTGACTGTATACTCGTGATGTTACCATTGACTGTATGCTGGTGATGTTACCATTGACTGTATACTCGTGATGTTACCATTGACTGTGATGCTAGTGATGTTACCATTGACTGTATAGATGCTGTATGCTGGTAATGTTACCATTGACTGTATGCTAGTGATGTTACCACTGACTGTATGCTGGTGATGTTACCATTGACTGTATGCTAGTGATGTTACCATTGACTGTATGCTGGTGATGTTACCATTGACTGTATGGTAGTGATGTTACCATTGACTGTATACTCGTGATGTTACCATTGACTGTATACTCGTGATGTTACCATTGACTGTATGCTAGTGATGTTACCATAGGCTGTATGCTGGTAATGTTACCATTGACTGTATGCTAGTGATGTTACCACTGACTGTATGGTAGTGATGTTACCATTGACTGTATGCTAGTGATGTTACCATTGACTGTATGTGAATGATGTTACTACTGTCATTCAGCCAGTGTTTACCTCGTTCTTGTTGATGCTCTAGGTGCCGTTGTACAACGCGATCTTAACGCCTTAACATAGACTTAAGGTAGTCTTAGCGCTCAGGTTGTTTCGTACAACAGCTCCCTGACCTTACTTTTCAGGTAACGACAGCCTGTATGTCGGCGAGGTGTATGCCTACCTCAAACACAGTGAGTACCCGACTTCTCTTCCCCATGTAGTTACTGCAGGTCTAACGTATAGTAGAGGCAGGTCTAACGTATAGTAGAGGCAGGTCTAACGTATAGTAGAGGCAGGTCTAACGTATAGTAGAGGCAGGTCTAACGTATAGTAGAGGCAAGTCTCACGTATAGTAGAGGTAAGTCTGACGTATAGTAGAGGCAAGTCTAACGTATAGTAGAGGCAAGTCTAACGTATAGTAGAGGCAGGTCTAACGTATAGTAGAGGCAGGTCTAACGTATAGTAGAGGCAGGTCTAACGTATAGTAGAGGCAGGTCTAACGTATAGTAGAGGCAAAGTGAGGCATCCATCATTTCAAGAAGGTCTAAAGTCTGTGAACAAGTCACAACAATTAAAGACACTACACGGAGCTAATCATTCTCTCTTGAACTGTTGTACACGATGAGGTCGAATATTCCATTTATATTTCTCTGGTAAAGGTTATTTTTAATTACCTCGGTTTAATAATTTCACAAATATACACAGCAGATATTCTACAATTCCGACATACATAGTTCAGTCATTCTGTTCGAACATCATCCGCGCAGTTCTCAAACAACTTTGTTAAAACCGATGTGAAGTAACAGTGAAAGTGGGGTCTGGGAAAATGTTTGAGTTCCTTCTCTTCAGCATGTGTTTGTTTGATTCCAGACAACTTCATTTAATCTTCCCCGATGAACATCACGGTATCTGCGACGAGTTTGGCAGTCATCCGTTCTCCGACAGGACAGTGACTTCACGTGTCCATTATCCAGCACCGTGTACTACCAGTGGTAATACATACGCTATAAGTGTCCACTGTCTTGTTGTCAATATCCAGCACCGTGTACTACCAGTGGTAATACATACGCTATAAGTGTCCACTGTCTTGTTGTCAATATCCAGTACCGTGTACTACCAGTGGTAATACATACGCTATAAGTGTCCACTGTCTTGTTAATCAATATCCTTGTTGTCAATATCCAGCACCACCGTGGTAATACATACGCTATAAGTGTCCACTGTCTTGTGGTATATACATAGTGCTATAAGTGTCCACTGTGTCTTGTCAATATCCAGCACCGTGTACTACCAGTGGTAATACATACGCTATAAGTGTCCACTGTCTTGTTGTCAATATCCAGCACCGTGTACTCCCAGTGGTAATACATACGCTATAAGTGTCCACTGTCTTGTTGTCAATATCCAGCACCGTGTACTACCAGTGGTAATACATACGCTATAAGTGTCCACTGTCTTGTTGTCAATATCCAGCACCGTGTACTCCCTGTGGTAATACATACGCTATAAGTGTCCACTGTCTTGTTGTCAATATCCAGCACCGTGTACTACGCTATAAGTGTCCAGTGGTAATACATACGCTATAAGTGTCCACTGTCTTGTTGTCAATATCCAGCACCGTGTACTCCCAGTGGTAATACATACGCTATAAGTGTCCACTGTCTTGTTGTCAATATCCAGCACTGTGTACTCCCAGTGGTAATACATACGCTATAAGTGTCCACTGTCTTGTTGTCAATATCAGCAGCACCAGTGGTGTACATACGCCCAGTCTTGTTGTCAATATACACTGTGTACTCCCAGTGGTAATACATACGCTATAAGTGTCCACTGTCTTGTTGTCAATATCCAGCACCGTGTACTCCCTGTGGTAATACATACGCTATAAGTGTCCACTGTCTTGTTGTCAATATCCAGTACCGTGTACTACCAGTGGTAATACATATGCTATAAGTGTCCACTGTCTTGTTGTCAATATCCAGCACTGTGTACTCCCAGTGGTAATACATACGCTATAAGTGTCCACTGTCTTGTTGTCAATATCCAGTACCGTGTACTCCCAGTGGTAATACATACGCTATAAGTGTCCACTGTCGTGTTGTCAATATCCAGCACCGTGTACTCCCAGTGGTAATACATACGCTATAAGTGTCCACTGTCTTGTTGTCAATATCCAGTACCGTGTACTCCCAGTGGTAATACATACGCTATAAGTGTCCACTGTCTTGTTGTCAATATCCAGCACCGTGTACTCCCAGTGGTAATACATACGCTATAAGTGTCCACTGTCGTGTTGTCAATATCCAGCACCGTGTACTCCCAGTGGTAATACATACGCTATAAGTGTCCACTGTCTTGTTGTCAATATCCAGCACCGTGTACTCCCTGTGGTAATACATACGCTATAAGTGTCCACTGTCTTGTTGTCAATATCCAGCATCGTGTACTACCAGTGGTAATACATACGCTATAAGTGTCCACTGTCTTGTTGTCAATATCCAGCACCGTGTACTCCCAGTGGTAATACATACGCTATAAGTGTCCACTGTCTTGTTGTCAATATCCAGCACCGTGTACTCCCAGTGGTAATACATACGCTATAAGTGTCCACTGTCTTGTTGTCAATATCTAGCACCGTGTACTCCCAGTGGTAATACATACGCTATAAGTGTCCACTGTCGTGTTGTCAATATCCAGCACCGTGTACTCCCAGTGGTAATACATACGCTATAAGTTTGGCGTGTTGATTTTGGGTTTTTGTTGAACGCCACAGTCACAATATTACAGCCAATTGACGTCGAGATAATTGTGTGTGGACCAGACAATACAGTCTCACCCATGTTGACCACAAGATCTATGTCCGCACCCCTGAGGACATATTATCCCCTGGAGCCGCAGCAGGGGTCGAGTATGCATCAGATGTTTCAGATCTTCCCGAACCTCATCAGCAACACACTGAGCTGCTTTGATCTAAAAAATGCAGCACTAAAATTTCTTGAATGGTTGAACTTACTGGAGAAATGACTCGTGGATTGTACTCTCAAAGCTGCAGTTCGTAGTTGTATGGCAGGCATAAACTTGCAGCACTAACGGTACTAACGGTGCACCCCTTCACAATAATAGACCCAACCAGTTGTGACACGGTCACGCAATTCATTAGTATTCACTTGAGCAGGTCAAGCTGAACAAGCTGTAGCAGCACTGACCATCAACGGTATTTCAGGTAATGAGCGACGGGACCAATTATATTGGTAAGCATCTGTCTAAAACGACAGTAATGTTACCACAGTATCACAAGTGAATGCTAACATCTTCAACACTACAAACTTGTAAATCAATACATTTCATTTTTTTACAATACCAGCTCTAGACCACAAGGAAAATAAGCACGGCCACCTTACTTGGGACCATACGAACTTACAGTACTACAGCGAACCGCATGAAACCCTACAAGGATTTAAACCATCACTTCAGTCGAAAATAGCTGTAGACAATGTTAGTATTTAACTAATCATTGCCCAAATATGAGACGAACTGAAAAGTCTTTAGACAGTCTGTGATACTGTGAAGACTTACGGTCGTCAACAGAGACAGCGATATTTTCACGATATTTCAACCCCTTTTAATGACACTGCTTTAATGTGTGGCGGCGAGAATCAAAGTTCATGAAAGGTCAAAAGCAGGAGAGTAACCAGACTTCAATATCCTGGTCCTGCATTTCCTGATCTTCAGGCTGCAATTGCGTTACACAATTTACGTAATGGAAACTAGGCTAGCTATTCTCGAAACGTTCGTAGCCCTACGAATTTCTTAAGCCCATTCTTAGCACATTGGCTACGATCAAGCCTAAAAATTCTTGGGGCTACGAACGTTTCGAGAATAAGGGCTGTGGAAGCCGATTAGTGCCACAGTCTTATTTTCTTACCATCTCCGTAGACGATACTTTACTGATGACACTCATTTTACGTATATGGTATTATAAGGTGTCATCTGGTTTTGAATTACCGACTTCTCAACTGTATTTTCTCGAGGAATCAACAATAATTCCCGGCCTGCTTTTATGTAGCCTCTGGCTTAATAATAACCCGTTTGTCGGACTTTCAGTCTCGACGTGTCTCGATTGAGGTACTATGACAACATTGAAAGAAACTAACTCTTTATTTAAGTGTGTCAAAGTTGTCATAAACAATTATTTTTGTGTTTAACGCTGATACTGTGAAATGAATGAATTTATGAAAATGGCCTGCTGATAAAGAGGGGGGCTTCTATAGACTGCCAGCGAAGCTATTGGTAGCATTCAATAGGTGCATTCACCAATCTCCAAACGTTTGACAAATGTTCACTGACGTTTAACTGTTCTAGTCACTGTCACTGCACATGATTGTCCCAAGCTGCACGTGTATAATGTCCTTACATGGTAAACGTACATGTGACTAACATCGTACAATCAAATCATTGAATTTCTACTGAATTTTCCATGAAATAAAAATAAAACAACATTCTCATTATCTTTTATGCGTTTCTCTTTTTGGAAGAATATATTATCATTATTGGTAAAGAATACAGTACTTGTCGTTAGACTGAATGATTGATGCCATATGATGAGCATCCTACATTAGACATTTATTGGGCCATTTAGATATAAAACGCTTAACGGTAATGACTGGGGCTTGTTTAATTTACGCTTGGGTTTATCGTTCAATCTATGCTTGGTTTTAGTATTCATTGTATGCTTGGATTTCGTGTTGAATTTATGCTCGGGTTTAGTGTTCATTCTATGCTTGGGTATAGTGCTACATATATGCTTGGGTTTAGTGACCTGCTCAGGACCGATTCATCCAGGTGTTTCATCTACGTCACCGATTTGCTACAGCAACGGACACTGCAGGACAGGGGTCTGGTCTTCGAAGAATTTCCGACCAAACCATCAAAAATAGTCTGAGAGAAGTGGGAATTCGAGCATATCGACCAAATGTTGGATCTGTCCTGACACGACTTCACCGACAACGACGTGTCCAATGGTGTAACAGGGTACAGGCACTGAACCTGGGTAACTGGAGACGTGTTTGATTCAGCGATGAATCGCGTTTCCTCCTGCAAGGACAGCATGGGAGACAACGTGTCTATCGACGTCGACACGAACGTTCCACAGGTGGACAGTTTTGGTGGAGACTGCGTCATGGTGGGGGGAACTATGCCCTACACGGGTAGATCAGAGCTAATGGCTGTTCAAGGCAATCCTACAGGAAATCGCTACTAGACCAAATCCTGCCACCACACCTTCTCCCACTTTTTAACCACCAGAGGGAGCTGTTTCAACACGACAACGCTCAACCCCACACAGCTCGTGTACAAGGTTCATATCTCGCCCTTGCAAACATCAATGTCCCTGGCTTTCCAAATCACCTGATCCGAACCCGATCGAGCATCTATGGGATGAACTTGATCGACGCGTCCGTATGCGTCACCATCGTCATCAGACACTTGCAGAACTTGCCAACGCGTTGCAGAAGGAGTGACGAAGAATTCCCCAAGCAAAAATCCGACGATTTGTGCAATCCCTTCCAAGGCGGTGTTGGCTTATTTACACTTACAGCTTGTTCAGCTTGACCTGATCAAGTGAATACTAATGAATTGCGTGACCGTGTCACAACTGGTTGGGTCTATTATTGTGAAGGGGTGCACCTTTCTCAGATGATTGGTGTAAACGAGTGGACTGATTGCTGTGCCCATGTTAAAAATTTGGAAAGCGACTACTGGGACAGAAATATTGCAGTTGAACATGAAATAGAAAAAGTGATAATTGAACTCGGCGTAGCAAGTGATAGCGAGAGTGAATCGGATCGTGAAAGTAACTGACGTCTGTAAGTTGTAAAGTTAGCAAACCAAACTAGGTAGCATATGACTGTATAAACAATTCAATTAAAACATGACATGATTGTTGTTTTCAGAAGTGTTGTTTTCCAGGACAAGTTCTGTAACGAATCTATGTATGCTTATCACGAACGCAACATT